AGTATTTTCTTGTAGAAGAAGAGATTCTTCAATGAAGTATTCGTAATGATCCTATATAACTAATTAATGTGAAAACAAGTTCAGAGGGTTGCAGAAGCACCAAAACTTTGGGGATGTGCCTGTTCTAGAATACCCATGGCACTGGATGTGAACCCACTGAAATTAGATACAGAGCCTCCCTTCTGGGAGTTGATACTCCTAAACTGAATGACACTCATAAGCTCTCCTTTCTGTGTACATGGAACAATCCTCAGTTTGCAGCAGGAAAAGGCAGTTCATGGGGCACTGGGTGGCTCATTTGGCTAAGCGTCTAACTCTTGAACTCAGCTCAGGTCTTGATCTCAGGGTCATGAGTTTGAGCCCCAAACTGGGCTCCATGCTGAATGTGGAGCCTACTTTAAAAAAAAAAGACTGTTAGTAAATTATGTGTTCTGTTTATAAAAATAAAATCCTGTGGTATTGGGGCACCTGGGTGGCTCAGTGGTTGAGTGTCTACCTTCGGCTCAAGTCTTGATCCCAAGGTCCTGGGACTGAGTCCTACATCAGACTCCCTGCAGGAAGCCTGCTCTGCTGCTCTGCCTATGTCTCTGCCTCTCTGTGTCTCTAATGAATAAATAAATAAATAAATAAATAAATAAATAAATAAATAAAATCTTTAAAAAATCTTGTGGGATGGTAGAAGGAGTACTGGCTTAGAGGCCTTGGTTTTCTTGTCTGTTAAGTAAAAGTAATAGTAGTGTCTGGCTCAAAGCACTACTGAGATTATGAATTTAAATGACATATGTAAACTTGCTAACGGAGGCTTAGTTCATACTAGGTACCTATTAAGTAGTAATATTCTTCCATCATGGGCTCCAATTGAGTGTTCTACAGGCAAGTCACTGTCCCAGAACTCATTCTTGGAATGAAAAGGTTATGATGTATGGTTTTTAACAGTTCTTTAAGCCTAGCATTTTGGAATTCTTTGACAAAGAGAAGGGAATGAGAGGGGAAGAAGCAGGGTGAGGAAGGGAGAAAAGGAGGAAGGAAGAGAGGAAGGGAGAAAAACAAAGGTTTTGCTAACCTGGCTACTACTGAATCTCCTACATAAAATAGCCTACTATAATCCGTGTGTTTTCCGTGCTTCATCTGTACATGTTAGGCTGAAAAGGGAGAGAAGAGACAAACTATAGCTAAATGTATGTGTTTTTCTCCCTGTTTACCCAACAGCAATTGCTCTTCAATTTTTCTTCCTTTTCCCTACCACAGATATGCCTCCTCTGCCAAAAGAAGTCTCCCTAAAATCCCACTGTCTCCCATAAACTAAAGTGCAGCAGTAAATAAGAGGGACTTGAATAGAAAAAGGGGTGGAGCAAGGGGATGCACAAGCCCAGTCTGTCACAGGGCCCAAGAACATGAGAAGTTCTGCATGTTTCAGAGCAGCAGGGTGTGTGTGTCTGCTTACATCTGGTGCTGACTCTGTGTGCTTGTGGATATCCCTGTTCCACTAGTGTATTCATTTCATCAGTGTTTATTGAGGGCCTGCTGTATACCTGTATGCCAGGCCTGTGTTAGGAGCATGAAGGCAAAATATTGAGTAAAATCAGTGATTTAAGTGGACCTTCATGCCTTTCTTGAGCAGCTGTGATCCTGAGAATCTCTGGGTCTGAGCATGTGTGTACATGTGTGAGTATGTGTCTGTGTATCTGTGAAAACTCCACAGACATGCATGACAGCAATTGTTTTTCTTCTGCTGGCTGCAGAAGACTTCCTTTCACCTGGTGTGATTCACTTCACAAAGAGTGAGCTTTATCTCCATTTGATTTTTATAACCTGTAGGATTGGGGATGTAACCAATAACAATTTATTTTTTAATTTTTAAATTTTGTTACATTTGTTTTTATTTAAGTCCGATTTGCCAACATATAGTATAACACACAATGCTCATCCCATCAAGTGCTCTCCTCAGTGCCTGTTACCCAGTTACCCCGACACCCTGTCCACCTCCCCTTCTGAAACCCTTTGTTTCCCAGAGTTAGGAGTCTCTCATGGTTTGTCTCCCTCTCTAATTTTTCCCACTCAGTTCCCCTCCTTTCCCTTATAACCCCTTTCACTATTTCTTATATTCCACATATGAGTGAAACCATATGATGATTGTCTTCTGATTGGCTTATTTCACTCAGCATTATACCCTCCAGTTCCATCCACATCAAAGCAAATGGTGGGTCTTCATTCTTTCTGATGGCTGAGTAATATTCCATTGTGCGTGTGTATGTGTGTGTGTGTGTGTGTGTGTGTGTGTTTCATTCCAAGATGTGTGCTCGCATCTTCTTTATCATCAAGACAGTATGGTACTGGCACAAAAACAGGTAGATAGATCAATGGAACAGAATAGGGACCCAGAAATGAGCACTCAACTCTATCTATAAAGTCTCTACAGTGCTTTATTCTTTTTTTACAGAGCCACCAGTAGCTTTATAATTGTACTTCTGAATTTAATTTCTGACATTGTATTTAAATCCAAATTCTGTAACTCTGTGGCAGAGATTATTGTTTCTGGTTCTTTCTTTTGTGGTCATTTTGTCCAGTGCAGAGTGGCTGTATGAGTGGGCTGAGTCAAAAATATCCATGACCTAAGTAAAATACACCCTAAATGATTCTGAAGAGGTCAGAGACCAGAAAATAAAAGAAAAAGAAGAACAGAACAAAATAAAACAAAAGGACCACCACAGTGAAAAACAAATTTTAAAACAAAGTAGTAAAAATAAAAAGCCAAAAACAAAGAAGAAGAAAAAAGAAAGAAAAGCAAAGAAAAAAGAAAAAATGGGGGGATGTGAAGTGGTAGTGAAGAAAGAATGTAATCTACCTGAGGGGTCCTAGAGGGTGATCCTCTTGGTTCTGAGTGTATTTTGTTCTGTATGTTAGAAGATGCTCAATCCCAAATTTATATAAACCAGCAGTACTTCTAGAAAGCCCCAACATAGACCACAGAAACATAAACAAGATAAAAGAGGGGGGGAAAATTGGAAGAGGAATGAACCAACACTGTATTCTACTTGGTTCTGGGTGTATGTTGGTCGTGTTTTAGAAGGTACTAATTTCCACCATTGTAAAACAAACTGAGGCAGAAAAAAATAAAAAGCAAATACACATGTCTCTTATATCTACCAAATTAAATTGAATACATTGAAGGGAATCCAGAAGTGAAAAATATATCTAAGACATGTAATTGTAGAGATATGAAAGTCAAAAAGGAAAAAACATAAATGAAGAGTTGGTAAAACATTGTAGTTAAGGTGGGAAAAGAAAAAAATACTGGGAATTTTTAGTTTGATATAAAATGAGTCATAATGGAAAAAAAGGTGAAAAAAGGAACCTCTAGTTCTCTATACTATTTTCCCTTGGTCCTGGAGCTTTCCAGCACTGCTTGTTCAGTAAACTTGCTTTTCCCTTGTTCTTCCAGCTGGTCTTCTGCGGGAGGGGTCTGCTGTGCTGATTCTCAGGTATCTGTGCCTGGCTTGAGGTGTCCTGCCCCTTGCCAGGTGCCAGACTCATTGTGAGTGGTTTATCCTGTGAGGCCTTTGTTCCCTAGAGGCCTTGCCTCTCCCAGACATGAGGAAAAACAAAAATGGCCAGTGGCCTGATTTTCAGCTCTGGAGTCAAGTTCCCGGCAAGTAACTAACCACAGTCTCCCAGTCTGCACTGGCCTTAGATGCTCCTGGGGGCAGGCGCAGATGCACTGATCTGCATAGCCTCCCCGGGTGCCCAGTGGCAGGAGAGTTCTCACTTTTCTGTGCCCTCCCCACTTCTGCCTGTCCTAGGGGGAACAAAGGATCTCTGGCTTTGTCTGCTTGGGTGCCCTGGGATCCCGGGCGCTGTGCTGCTTGACCCACACTCCCGGGGACTGCCTCTCCCAAAGGAAATGGAGTACAGCCACCTCCGGTCCATTGCCTGGCTCTAGGGTAAAGGCAGCTCCAGAGCTGGCCCACTTAACTGGCTTCTCCCAGATGCCCCAAGGGCTGTGGTGCTCCAGCCCTTTACCATGATGGGACCGCGCTTTGCAGTGAGCTTACCCCCGGTGCCCCTCCTCTTATAATGACTCCAGGAATCTTGAGGCTTCACTGTCCCTCCTGCGATTCTGCCCAGGTTCCCTGCTAAGCACTTTTATGTCAGAGAAAACTCTGGCATGGATTTTTAAAGTTCCCACTTCTCCAGGGCTGGGCTTTCCTGCCTTGGAGGCTTTTGCCGCTCTGCTTTAGCCCTGCTAGTTGCACTTCCCCTCCCCCACCTTATTCTTTTTTTTAATTTTTTTTTTTGCCTTCCTACCTTGTTAGAATCTAAAACTTTTCTCTCTGAGCATTCCATCTGTTCTCTCTTTAAATCTCAGGTCGAATTCATAGGTGTTCAGATTGTTTTGAAAGTTATCTAGGGAAGTTTGTGGGACCAGATGAGTTGATGACCCCTACTCTTCTGCCATCTTGCCCTTCGCTCTCAATCACTAACAATTTAAAAACAATGAGAAATCTTGTGGAGTTCTCTTTCATAGAATTCTTACCTGTAATTTTATTATGAAAAACAGGCACCATCTTAGCTTGAATATGATCCTTTGCATGATTACAGAGGTCAGGAGCTAGAAACATTGCCTAAGTCCAAGTCTCTGCTGTGTTATGCTAAGGGAGCAGTAATTTCCATCATTGATCACTTTCCCATGGACATTCATGGCTTTTAGTACAGGTAGAATATCTTATTTTTAAAAACCAGTGAGTGGTCCTTATAAAGGAAGTATCAGCAGGACCTCAGTTGTGCATCTCTATAAAAACACCTATGAAAACCAAACAAAAAAGCATCGAATTAACCCAGGTGGTGTGATTATGTGTGATCAAATTGTTAATGGCCTTTCTCTGTTCACTTCTGTCATCTGGCAGGATATATCCTTATGCCCTTTCTGCTTAGAAGTACTAAAGGAGAGAGAGTCTGGAAATGCATTAATGGGGCATCTCCTATTCTGTTTGTTCTTCCAGGGAAACAGAAGTACCTGTGTGCCAGCAGAAATGATTGTACCATCGATAAATTCCGAAGGAAAAATTGTCCATCTTGTCGCCTCCGGAAATGCTATGAAGCAGGGATGACTCTGGGAGGTATGATACTTTTCCTCCTCCTCCCTCTCCCTCTTTCATTCTCTCATTCTCTCTTTAAAGCAGATTTTCCTCTTTGGTACTTCTGAGGTGGCCAGCTCTGCTCTAGATACAGACTGACTCCTTCATATCCTATGTGGCCATCAGCCAGCTAATGGCTTTCTATATCCTTAAGCATGTCACGCCCCACTCTGGGGCTCAGCATAGGGACAGAAGGTGTGAAGCAGGGATGGATCAGGACCCATCAGGGGGTGGTGAGTGAGTGTGGAGTGGACTATGGAGTCCCCAGAGGACACAGTGATACTGGCCTTATGTGTTGAATGATAGCTAGGATGAGAGAACTACAGAATCCAGAATAATCACAGGTGCAGGATGACCCAGGCACAGGCTGGCCCTGAACACCCAGGAATAATCTCAGTTAACTACTTCTATATTGTAGGGCAGGCCACCTGGAATGAGAAGCTGCTTCTCTTTGGAGCCTATGACTAGGCTGCCAAGCAGAACCAGTTTCCTATCGCATCTCTCCCCAGGGTTGAGCAGGCCTTTTAATCATTTTCTTTTCTTTGCAAATCCATTGATAACTTCCAAAAGCATTTTTCAAGAGCACAATAGCTTGACAGAGGGAAGATACAGCTTTTTTGAGGGCAGCCATTCATCATAAGCTCTCTGTCCCCTACCCTGTGTCTACCGTGAGCACGGTCACCATTCCAGAAAGGCTTGGCTTACTTGTATATTTTCCCCTTCCAAATTCCTCACTTCTTCATGTTCACATCTGCTCAGTGGCAGGGTGTTTCTTGCAGCTTCCAAAAAGAGGCATCTTTCATGAGAAAAGCAGGCTCATCAGTCTACTTTGATTTGAAAATGGAACTTGAAAAAAAGCCCTTTTCTGAATGCTTGAAACTATAGCCTCCTAACTGATTATTCATTATCAGCCTGGAAAACTTGAGTTCCTGGAATCCTGCCATTTCTCCTCCCCATCTCAAGTCTTATTTATTTATTTATTTATTTATTTATTTATTTATTTATTTTCTCAAGGCTAATTTAGAGCACTTGTGCATCTCTGGTTTTTTGTAGGGTGCTCAGTACCTTGTCTGCCTGTGTACATGGTTACAGAAACAAACTTGTTTCCTAACTCTGTGTGGGTCTTCATGCTGATAACTCTGTCTGCCCCTCCTTACAGGGCAATAATAGTCTTTAAACAGACCAAAGTACTACAGATGAATTGACTCAGGTTCAATTTGAGACAGTTGCAGCAGAACCATCTCAAGTAGTGTCTAGTACTCCCAGACCTTGCAGGCAGATGCTCTGTGAGTAGTTTCCCAGGCAGCCGCATTAAATGAGACTCAAATATCTGACTCAAAGACCAACCATGCTCTTATTTGCTTGGTGTACTACGGAGAAATCCTACAATTATGGTCTACTGTTGGGAGGAAGGAGGAGGACTGGGGTGAAATGCAGAAGGGAAGCCAAGAAAGGTGACAAGGGACTGATAGGAGGGAGTTTTCTTCATATGAATATTACAACCCTATGTTGAGAGTTCTGATGCACTCAGGTCTCAATTATTTAGCCCTCTGTGAATTGTGTGTAAGTGATGGGGGCTCCCAGGTACAGAAGCCCCTCGGCTTTCCATCTGTTGATATGAATTGTAAGCCTGCTTTAACATAGGTGAAGATTTATGGTAAAAAAAAAAACTCCTTATAAAGTTTGGGTTCAAATCTTAAAAATTAGTTTCACGTTTTAGCCAACATCTTTCTTTTTTAAAAAACAAGATTTTATTTATTCATGAGAGACACACAGAGAGAGGCAGAGACATAGGCAGAGGGAGAAGCAGGCTCCTAACAGGGAGCCTGATCCAGGACTGGATCCCAGGACCCCCAGATCATGACCTGTGCCAGAGGCAGATGCTCAACCACTGAGAAACCCAGGTGCCCCGATATCTTCCATTATAAAACACTCATGACATGGTTATAGTGAACCCCTTTTCAAAAGGAGTAATTTCACTACTTCATATATTAGTCCAGCATAAATCTGTCACTTAATTTCATGGAAAGAGTGGTACAGTAGGTTTTCAAATTGATTTATTGGATAGAATGCTCAAGTTTAAATGGGCTTAGTCAACACAATGAAAATAAGGTGAGAAGTGCTGTGAATGGCTTTTGTTTCAGTTTCACTTCTGTGATATTTATTGAATGTCAGTTGTGTACAAAGGCACCATTCTGGGTAATAGAGCTCAGGCAGGCAAACTTGAAGAAATGTCTACAAGATACAACGATTCTTGATACTGTGTATGTGGCCTTGCCTTTGGAGTCAGACAGATCTAAGTTAAAGGCCCAGATCCATTATTTACTGTGCCCCTTCTAAGCCTCAATTTCTTCATTTATAATTTAGTGATATCACTTTCACAGAGGCATGATGAACATGAACATCCTTGGTAAATGACAAAGTGCTAGACAAATGTGAGGGCTTACTATGACAGTGAAGTCACTAGTAATTTAAATGGTAAGCTGTTAAAGCACTTCCCAGTTGGCTTTTGCACTGAGTTACTTGCGTGCCCTATAATATTTAACTATTCTAACAGGCAGGAAGAACATCACCAGAAATCACTCTTGATCACCTCAAACTTAAAGAAGCTGATTCTAGTAGTTAAGGGAATCATATATTGTGTTCAAGTACCATGTCAATAGCATCCCAAGTATATGCCCACTTAAAAACCATTGTTTGAAAAACAAACCTTTTCATTTTGCTAAACTTATCTCCACATTTCCCGATTCTCTGCTGCAAACCCTTCTCAAGTTTATGATTAACTTGCAAATTCAGTGTACATCACACCTTTACTCAAAACAATGGAAAGAAAACATAAATGTAGAGTGGCCCTTCTACATTAGAAGAATGTACTTCTTCTAGCAGTAGACTTCCCTTTTCATAAGATTTGGGTTTAACATAGACATTCTGATCATACTGAAGGAGAATTCTTATAATTTTGTTTTATTCTTTCTGTCACTCAAAACAGTATAATATATTCTAAAATGGCAATTTTCCATCATAAAATTGGGACAATGAGATTTACAAAGGACCTTTCTGACACTCTCATTTTGTGATCCTGGGTCTAAAGTCACAGAAAAAGCTTATCAGCTTTCTTTTGATTATGTATCCACTGCCTTCAGAAGTTTAGACAGTCTAGAATTGAGTGTTTTGACTTGCATAATAATTTTAGCTATCTCAGTTACAATGAAGTAAGATATATTATGTGTCTAAAAGTAGACTGGATGCATAGATTATTGAGGGAGTAGAGGGCAGAAGGGTTATCCTTGTATCTTAGTTCTCTAAGAACTGGTACTCTACAGCTGATGCTTGCTTAGTGTTTAGGCCTCAAGATTTCTAACTGGCTTCGTCTGTAGTGTTCCGTCTACTGTTGGGTGATGGGATCACCTTAACTCAGAGATATTTAAAACACAGAACTTTTTACCTTTGTGCTTCTAGCCCTATCTACATGTTCACTGCTTGTTTTCTTATCAGCTTTTGGTGTTTTTTGGTGTTTCTAAGGGTGGTTGGAGTCTCGAAGTGGATCACTTACAGACTACCTTCAGGCTATGAACTGCTCATTTACAAGGATAGGCCTTTCTTTATACACAGTTCATTTCTGGCTGCTTTTGAAAAACACATTGCTAATTGCTTCAGGAATCTGAACCTCTTGCCTAATTTTATTTATTTATTTATTTATTTATTTATTTATTTATTTATTTTTGTATATTTTTTATTGGAGTTCGATTTGCCAGCATATAGCATAACACCCAGTGCTCATCCCGTCAAGTGCTCCCCTCAGTGCCTGTCTCCCAGTCACCCCATCCCCCCGCCCTCCTCCTTTCCACTACCCCTTGTTCATTTCCCAGAGTTAGGAGTCTCTCATGTTCTGTCACCCTCACTGATATTTCCCACTCATTTTCTCTCCTTTCCCCTTTATTCCCTTTCACTATTTTTTATATTCCCCGGATGAAAGAGACCATATAATGTTTGCCCTTCTCCAATTGACTTACTTCACTTAGCATAATACCCTCCAGTTCCATCCATGTTGAAGCAAATGGTGGGTATTTGTCGTTTCTAATGGCAGAATAATATTCCATTGTATGTATATACCACCCCTTGCCTAAATTTAATATAAAAACACACTTACAATTATATCCAAAAAAGGACCTTCCGTCTGGTGAATTAACTATGGCTTTTTCAACAGCCTATAATTATAATAAGTGCACAGCCATCTCTCACTTTTCTCTGTATTTCCCAAGGATATACTTCCAGTTTCCAAGATGTAATAAGAAAGAAAGAATTGCCCTGAGCTGTCATCTTCTCTTCTAACCTTTTCCTCCTTCTCACTTTCCCTCCTATTACTCTCCAAACATTTATTTTTTTGTTTGTTTGTTTATTTTATTTTTGCATTAGGCAACTCTTGAGTTCTCAGCTTTTAATAAATGGCATTAGTCCCTGCTTTTACTCTTGCCTTTCCTGGACCATGGAAGATGGTAGGCTTTTCAGGAATTTCATGTAGCAGCCAAACCCCAGAAAAGGAAAAGAAACCTAAAAAAAAAAAAAAAGGAAAAGAAACCTAGAACATGTGAGAGTTTATTTAAAATGTTCAGCGTTTTCCTCAGCGGTTTACTTTAACGTATTTGAGAAATCTCTGTCCTACTACAAGACTGAGCTTTACACCTGAGACTCAAAAGTGTTAGCATATCTGCAGGGTTTTTTTTTTTAAAGATTTTATTTATTTATTAGAGACAGAGAAGCAGAGACACAGACAGAGGGAGAAGTGGGCTCCATACAGGGAGCCCGACATGGGACCCAATCCCGGGTCTCCAGGATCAGGCCCTGGGCTGAAGGCCGTGCTAAACCGCTGAGCCACCGGGGCTGCCCCAGATCTGCAGGTTTTAACAACCTCCAGGATTCTTTAGTTGGGAAGATGGCTCAGAGAGCCCATGGCCACGATCTGATATCACCATGGATGCTAT